TATACAACAGGAGGGCATATTGGGTGGAGTATGGACCGTTACGTACAGATCGATATCGACGACATATTCGTCGGAGCTCGTGGGACACGCATGATAGAGAGTGATGTAAGGTGAGGATTTGTTTTTCTTCTTGAAATTGTTCTCCAAAAAGTTACTTTTTGGTCAGAAAACCTGCCTCCATTAATAGAGCCGCCGTTTCAGTTCCTCTAAGATACTTGAATTAAGTTTTCGGTATGTTACTAACATATTCATCTTTTTCTTTCAGGGCATTGCTCGACAGCCAGGAACATCTTCGTAAGTACATTTCGAACTTCACTTATATGCTTGGATTTTCTGGTAGTTATTTTCGTAACGGAGATGATAACGAGGACCGTGGTGATGAACTGCTTGTTGGTAAGTTTGTTAGATGGTCTGTCGTAGCTTATCATGGGTCAGTTGGAATTGTTAAATAGAGTCGGTATTTTCAGAGTTGGCGCAGAATTTTATTTGGTTTCCTCACATGTGGCGCCACAATCATGCTCATGAGCATAATCTTACGTACCTGGAAGCAACTATGACTCAGAATTTGATGTTCGCGCAGGTGATTTTCCTTAATACTTTTCACGGTATTTGTGAATTCTTGTCAAGGCCCTCACATAAGGTTAGTGTATTAGACGAATGGCTGCATTTCAGAATATGCGTCTTCCAGTGAAGTACCCTTACGCTATAGCACCGCAACACGATGGTGTGTACCCTGTACACTTGGAGCTTTACAAAGCCTGGAAGCGAGTAAGTCTATTAGTATGAGCTTGAACATTCGCATCTCTCGGTTTTAATATTCCAAGTATTTCAGATATGGAAGTTAGAGGTTACAGCTACCGAGGAGTACCCTCACTTCAAACCTGCTTTGGGTAGGCAAGGATTTATCCACATGAATATCTCGGTTAGAGTTTTATAATGGAATTTCCTGCAGGGATTCTTATTACTTAGAACTACGTTCATCAGCGAATAAATACACCAATTTGAAAAAAGGTTCAGGAATCAGAAATAATTGATCGGAAGGGTCTCATCCAGGAGGAGGTGGGGGATATGGTGCGGCAGTTGCTGTCGTCTACAGAACCTCAAATTTTTACATGTAGAGGATGGTTCGGCGTGTTAACCATTTCGCTTTCGCTTTTATACCCAATTAGGGACTTCCTTTGGGTTGTTTCGCGCGATAAGAACTGTCACGCAGCATACCCTCTCCCATCGCTGTGGGCGATAAGAACGGTCGTGCTGCATGCCCACCTTACAACATAGGACTCGGTCGGAAGCATTAGTATATTATTAGGAAAGTTATGTAATCTCGTGTTCACTACGTTTCTCATTCTAGGTCCTTCCACGTCAAACCTGCGGTCTTTACACGCATACTCAGTTTTTCCACAATTATCCAGGCGGATTTTCTAAGCTTACGAGTTTGATTTACGGTGGAGAGCTTTTCTTCACGATACTCATGAATCCGGTAGGTTATTGGGAAATTCTTCTATCTAGATGGTTGCACAGACCTAATCCTTATCTGTTAGAAACAAGCTTACTTTCAGATATCAATATTTATGACACATCAACAGAACTTTGCGCATGATCGATTAGCATTGTTCACGTTCGATAATCTCGCACGCTTTGTCAGCTGCTGGACAAATATTCAGCTGCGTTGGCAGAGCCCAATTGAGTCTGCACGGATGTATTTCTCTTTAATGCCTCAGGAAACTGTACCTATATGGAGTGTGAGTATCAGTTAAATTTGGTTTAAATGCACCGAAAAGTGAAAGAGAAAAGGATAGAATCGTGTAGCTCTAAATAATCGACTTTGTACTTTGAGGGAAAGAGTGGAGTGTTTTTAACACATTGCATACCACGTGCGGCCCCACGTGGCGCGCGCATTTTTTCGGAAGAAAGACATAGTCCTTTCTGATTTCAATTTGGCGTTTCCTCAATGCTCCTTAAGTGCTTGCACTCATTTTCAGGAACCAGGAAAAGCATAAGTATCATCACTGATAAAATTGTTGATAGATTAATGATGATTCATTTTTTAAAAACACGAAAAAGTTATGGAGATGCTCGTATAAGGGCGGTCCGCAATGTGTTAAATAACACGCTGTTAATGTCAATAAGTACAAGCAAAAGAGATGATGAAGAATCGCCTCAAATAAAATTTCGTTCTGCGGTTGACTCTTTCAGGTGTTCGTTGGCGTAACGTGACTCCCTTTCATTTCTCTGTGAAATGTGATAATTCGCCTATTTTTCGCCTAGTTTTCGTCAGTAGGAGACTAGTATCCCTCTTTTGTGAAGGCGGTTCCTCCACGCAGCTTTTGTTGCAATTTGCATATGAGTTTTATATGCATGTTTTGATAAGTGTCACTACACCAGTAGAAGTTAGTTTTGGAACTTTCTAGAATCCTTGTGAAGACCCACGACACAAAGCTATTTTACCACCATCGTTGAACTGTTCAAACTTTCACGCTTCCGACAACTCTCATTGTCGGTCCTCAGAAAACCGGTAAGTCTTAAATTTGTTGAGGCTTTCCAAAGCTTTATGGGTTGACACGTTAACTTTGTGGTTTTGTGGTGTAAAGAAGGTCTTGTGTTTGGCTTCCACTTTTTACGTTGTGTTGGAATTGTTCTTTGTGATTGAATAGTTGCGTCACTCCCTCTATTGTGACAATTATTGTTACACTTCTTTAGAGAACTTCCTGGTGCTCATCTTTAGCCATCTTGATTTTTTTGAAAACGAAAGGATTCTCTTTTTCTAGATACGTGCATTAGCCTAATGGTTTTCTTCTGTATATGTGTACTTTAAGTGTCCTTTTGCGCACGCTGCTTTTTTGCCACAATTTCTTTGATCTTCTTTTCTTCTTCCTTCTCAACCCATTTTGAGTTACACCTTGTACTTCCAAACTCGTGTTCTTCGCACATCCTCTGTCATTCGTAAAGCGTAGAGGTTGTAGTCGGAGGAAGCATTTGGAAAGCTTCTCTAACTCAGGCACCACAGCTCTTGCAACGTTTTTGTCAATGCATCCCAACGTATCAACAAATGAGCCGATTCCGGAGTCTTTCGAGGAGCTTCAGTTTTTTGGTGGGGCGAATTACCACAAAGGAATAGAATGGTGAGAAACAGCTCAGAAGTAGCGCTTCATTTCACCAGTTTAATGAGACGTTGAGAATGTTCTTGATGAATTTAGGTATTCGAAGAGGTTCACCACTGCTCATGTCGTATTTGATAAGAGTGCAACATATTTTGATAATCCTTCCGCTGCAAAGCAAGCGTTTGCTCTTATTCCTAATGCAAAAATTGTTGTCATTTTATATGATCCCGCAAGAAGGGCTTACTCGTGGTATCA